ATTTGTCTTTTACCCGAAGAAATCTCGTCAATTTCTTCGTGAAAAATCTGCATTTTTTCTTTATTGAATATTTATCTCAAATTTACTGTATTTTATCATCGGTGTGATCGTCAAAATGCTCTTAAACGTGGTTTGCTGCCGTCCTCGACATGCCGAGTCGCCATATGGAAATTTGGGCCCGGCGTAGTTGTTTTCGTTGTCAGGCCGGATCAGGAGGAGATCGGAATAATTGTGGCGCTAGAAATTGGAGTGCAGCTGGGCATAAAAGGAGAAAGCGAAAGATTTGTTGTTTTTACAAGGATGAATTTATTTCTCGAAGAGATGTAGAACACTTGAGCTTGAGGTAAGCTGAATTCAGTAGATTTTCGCACCTCCGCGCGCATTATGTGTTATTCATGTGTTTGCCCTTTTCGAAACTTCCATATTCCGTGTATTTTTACCCATCTCTCATTCGATTTTTTTTCTCTCTAGACTGCTTCATCAAGCAGGAAGTTCGCCGTGGACCTTAAGTTAAAATGAGCGAATTGAAATTTGTGACACGTTTGCATTTTGTACCTTTGAGTTCTGAGACGGAGAATACCGAGACGGAAGCCGCTTAGGTATCATAAATAGCTGTCACTGGTGTTTGAGTTTCTCTTGGTACGGAAGATCTAGCGAGCATGACTGTAGCTTGCCTTTATTTTTTCCAAGGACGAGAGAGATTGTAAGAAGGATTTTTATAGAGTAATATCAAAACCTTGAAAACAGATAAACTGTAGGAGAGCTTTTTCTGAAATCCGATTATCCGAACATGCAGGAATTTTTTCTATCTGGGCAGCATCATCTTTTTTTCCAAAAGCAGAACATTTAGATAACATTTAGATTTGATTTTGTGTACTTGTTGTTGTTCTGTATGGTGGCCGAATATGAACGCGCGACATTGGCGCGTTCGCCAGATTCGCCACGTGAGAGTGAATTGCTGCTGTTTACGATCATGGTTTTGACATTTCGTTTGTGAGAGCCGACGTAAATGTTGGTCCCAACGTCGCTGATTGATGTAACACTGTGCTCGTCTTCGTGTAATTTCATATCAGTTTAACTTCCTCGGGTTTGGCGCATAGAAATCTTTTAAATTTTAGATATGTTATATTTTTCAACATAACAAAGCAATAGACGAAATAAAAAGTTGTTCGAATGAGTCTTAAGCAATCTTAATTCAACTTTAAAATTCAAATTTCGCGCTTTTCGCTGTATTGACCAATCAGAGCATTCAGATTTAATTTGATTAGAGAAATGAGCGCCTGAAAAATAACTGACGCTATTGCCGCGGGCTATTGTTTTTCTGCCTGCTTCTTAGCTGGACCATTACTTAAAGGGACAGTGTCCCGATTATGCGCACGCGCGAGCGTCATCTGTTTTTTCTTCAAAAGACAATAGAACTGTCAAATTGACTCGACAAGATTTCCTTCCGGACCGCACCGCCGACAGAGATTTGTTGTTTATATTCTCAAGTAATATTTTAGACTTTCAAAGAAGTCCCTCGTCTTATGTGAAAATTTGGCTCGCGGTTCGAAGACTCATCGCGATTTTATCGCTAGCTGGGCCGCCTCGCGACCCGAAAATCTCGTTCCGCTCGCTTTAAAAACATATTTTCTAATTTGAAACTCGTGTCAGAGGTCAATAGCTCCAAGTCCAGTAATATCTGCCTGATTTGCTCGCGTTCTAGCCTCGAACGTTTGAAAGACATAAATAAAAATGCAATCCCAACGCTATGAATCATCACAAAGGTTAGTCAAAAATGATATTATGATTTCATGTCACTAGTTTTTCAAAACATGTAGCGCCTGTTCGTTCGATTTTGTCGGCCGTAGGGAGATTCATTTAAAAGTTTACTAACGCGTCGTTGCAAAACATTCTGCTTCACGAAGCTCCCCTCCACAAGATCTCCTCAGTCACATACATAGCACAATACCCTAACCCAGATCCTCTGGTATAATTAATGATTGATAATGATGGATATAATATGAAGAAAAATGTTTTGCAGATCAGGGGTCTCGGCAGGTAACACCCTCCTCGATTATTCATATCATAAAAAATCCCAAAAAATTCACTTTACTTGAGTGACAATGTATTTAGCACGAAAGTACTAATTGTGGGAGAGTAATTTTACGTCTCCTGACGTGGTCTATGGAAACACGCGAAGGTCTAGTCGCTTGCAGTGCAAAGGGAATACCTTCATTTCTCAGTTATTTTAAGAGCCCGAATATTGATGCGGCCCCGGGATTGAAACCGGCGACCTCCCGCACTGCAGTTGGGCGCTCTACCGACAGAGCTAACACTGTCGCGGTTCCAAATTCAATAACTGTTTCATTATTCATTCAAAACATTCCCAACCTCAAACCTCACGTCGTAGTCGCGCAGTGAAGGCAAAGAAATGTACAAAAAAGCGGGATGTACGTGCAGAGTTGTTGTTTTGCTTATTAAACCTATTGTTTTTTGACGTTCCCTTTGCCGTCGTTGTCGTGGTTTCGTAAGGTGCCTATTGACCCTCACTGCCTAGTCTGCCAGCAAACACGGCACTTCCCACCAACACTGACTCAAGCCCTTTTCTCCATCTCAAAGCTGAAAGGTTGGCCTCTAATTAACCAACCAGTTGTTGTTTTTACGGCCACGTTTTAAATACATATCTGTCCGGGATTTGCAAAAACATGGCTACAGAAATCTCTCTTATACTTGCAGTGGAGTGCAGTGAGTCTTGCAGTGGAGCATGCTTTTTTGTTTTTTTGTTTTTTTCATAGTTTCTTTTTATTTATTTAATCGGTACCGGATAGGCAAAAGTAGATAGACTTCGATGAGTTTCCCACTGTCTATTAACCTATGAACCCCCCCCCCCCCAAAAATTGTTTTTGATAACTTCCCATAATTCTCTGTGTATGTCAGTTTCAAATCAGCGCGCGTATTAGACTAAACTCGGCTCTCATAGTGGGTTGTCTTAGAGTTTTTTTGGTTGCCTTGAGCAAAGTTTTCAGGAAGGCATCATTAAGCCTTATGAAGGAACAATTCTCACGTCTGGCAAAGTCTGCTGCGTCCAATATCTTCTGGTATTTCGTCTCATTTCGGGCTACATCGCGGGCTTGAGACGGAAAGATTGGATATTGCGAGCTTTGTTGTGGGCAGTAACGAGTCTTTGGCCTCACAAACTAGGTTCTAGGGTTGAAATCTATTCGGCAAGATGGAAATTCATGCTGATTTCTGACCAGGCCAAAGACTTAGTAAAAAATTGTGTGGAAGGCGGGGGCTGTATGTCTCCTTTTCAACCGCTGTTTACCGTGTACATCCGGGATCTTGAATAAATCGACTGTCAGTGAGTCGAGAAAAGTTCCATGTGACGATTTATGTGGAGAAAGCGAAAGTTTTACGGAGTAAGTTGACGATGTTTTGCCCGTGTTGAGTGTGGAGGGGGACATGGGGGTTTACGGTATTGCGGTATTGGGCTTTTTTTCATGCGGTATTTCGGTAATTTTAATTTTAACGTGCGGTATTGCGGTATCATCTAGCTCTGCGGTATGCGGTTTTTCATCATTTTGGCTGACGGTATTCGGTGAAATAAGATTGTTCACGGTATTACGGTACCGTTTATTTGCGCTTTCTTTTCGATACAATACGCAAAACAAAACACAGTAGGACATAAAGGTCAATAAAAGTTAATATTTAGAAGTCTTGAGACATAACGGTAAATGATTAAACCATTGTGGGTCATTTTGTGACAGTTAATGGTCGATAATACACAATGTGATTGTTGTTGCATCCAATGACAATGAGTCACCTCAAGTTACCTTACCAGGCTTTTCGATCTGTGTACGTGTGCCACGTCTGCTACTCAGCCGTTTTTAGTGTCGTCACGCAACGCTCCTCCCCACTGGGGAGACAGTCGAGATAGTTGACTCCTGAGATACTGACATACTAGACTATAGACTCATCCAAACTCGCACTAGACGTGCGTGGAAAGAGTTTTGGCTGGTTTGTTTTTTGTTTTGTTTTTTTTTTTTTTCGCGCTTTCAAGAGTTATTTTTATTGGAGTTAGTTAGCTGTTGGGTCGACCTACCAAAAGGTTCTTTTCACTGAAAATTTGCCAAAAATTTGCCAACTACCAAAATGTTAAAAAAAAACATGGACATCTGGTGCATAAATACCTGAGATAATTAAACGCGCTAGATGGAAGCACCATAAGTATGCGGAACCGATTATGAATGTGATTAAAATATGAGGTATCGGTATTTAGACGATTTTCGACGCGGTATTTCGGTATTTGCCATTTTTTCTTACGGTATTGCGGTATTGGGTACCCCCCAATGTCCCCCTCAGTGTGGAAATATTATGAGTGGTTTTGGGAAGTGTTGTGATTGCCGCGAAAGTCATTTATTGTGTGATTTACCGAAAGTGTTGACAAACAGATCTCAGGTATGTGCGGTTGAGCTCGTGTTACTAGAATACTTTGTGTCAAGCCTAAAAACGCTTCGTGAGTGTTTAGTTTAGGTGATTTTGTCTTAGAAAGCTCATTCTGTGCTCAAAGATTGTGGATTCTTAATCTGTTTTTGGCCAACACTGAGCTGTGGCCTCACGGTTTGACTGACTAAAAGATTACAATTTCTGGACGTTTCAAATGTTGTTTATTTCATCACAAAATCCTCTTACTTCTGCGAGAGAACTTTATCGTATATTGCCAGCAAAAACGATGTTATTGTTTAGCTTCATCTAGTGACTTTTAACTGCTTCCCATTCCACTTAGATGTCAAATAGTTAAAATGCACTTGAAATTTATTTAGCCACGTTTTAACATAGTTATTAGAGGAGACTGGTTATGAAAAGCGGCAAACATCAATGAGAAAAACAACAGCGCTGCAGTTTATGTTCAAAGCACCGTGAAAGTGCACAATCCTTTGTTTTCTGTTGGCAAATTGTTACGGAATAAATTAATGCAACGTTTTTATTGGTCAATACAATCAAAATGATAGGAATTCTTTTGAACGTTGTGCACTTTCAGGTCCACAAAAACATATAACAAAGGAGTATGACGGGTTTCATAACCATTCCACTCAATTAACTATGGTTTTAATAAATCCAGACAGGTATTAATTAAGGCAAACTCTTTAAATAAATTAAATTATCAGAAATCACTCCCTTGGCTACGTTTGTCCGTTAATTGGCTTTGGTGAAAGGAGATAACGCTATTTCCACTTTCTCATGATTTTTAACAGAAAACATCCCGTTTGGTTCTGGACGGCACTTGCATTTTAATATTCCTTTCATTTTCTCTTTGTATCGCTGATTTATCAAAGCATACAAAATAGGATTGATAGCAGAATTGAACAGGATGAAAATGTTAGCTGTTGCGAATGTCAGCTTACTGAAGGAAGGCTTATAGAAGTAAAGGAAATAGTTAAACGAGTCTGCAAGCCAGGTTACTCCAAAAATTATACTGACTGTTATGACCATCAAGGTGACCCGCTTGCGTACTTTCAGTACACCCTGAAAACAAAAATTAAAAATTTCAACTTGTTGTTTTGTGGAACAGAGTAAACCCTGGTGCGGGTGAGTATACGGGACCAGCAGCTATGTAGGTAACTCACTAATACCAAATGACGGTGGGTGACATAAACCTACACACATGCGTTATTGACCAAGCGTGAGGTCAAGGTGGTTGGATATTGGCCAAGTTCTTTTTTGTGTGTTTATGCATCAGACAAATCCAGCTACGCCCAGCTCCCTCCGCCGGGCTACTGGGGAACATTTGCCTACCTTGTCAGTCTCGGGGGTGGGGCATTATCAAATTTTGCGTGGCCCGGGGGGTCGGGCATTTGCCCACCCCGAGCTTTTGACACGTACTACGTGGATTTCGATTCCAATATAACTAAACGTGGAGGATTTTACGGGAAACACATTAACAAGCCGATTGGCTCATTTATAAAGGATGCGAAAAATGTGTAGAGGTTTTTAGAGGTATGATTTCTCGATTTATGCATGCGTTTCTTCATTGCTTATCAAGACAGAACTCACACTGTGAAATCGGGAGCTATTTATAACAAGATAAATAACAATGATCAAATAAAGAATCATGAATGGTTTTGTCGCGGCTTGCGCTTAAGAATAGAGCTATTACAAAGGAGGACGTTAAATGAAACGAAAAATTTCACTTTAAACATGCGTTAAGTGGCACTTCGACTGGGCGATCAATGAAAACTGGTAGCTCAAGTGTACCAGCTCCGGGGAATATCCAGCTATCTTGACCGAACAAGATTGATCAACAAAGAAATTTCTACATGGCCAAAAAGAGAACTTTTTCTCGCAGGAATAAATTGGTATAAGGCATGTTGTTTTTAATTTAGTTTCGAACCTGTTGCACACAATGCTGATTTCCTCTTGGCTTTGAACGTGTGAACCACAAAGTGTACACGACTTGGGAGTATAGAGCGATCATGAAAGTAACCGGGAAAAATGATGTAAACAGAAACCAAACCATGCTATAGGCTTTACCCATCCATTCTTCAGACCAAGTAGAAACGCACCAATCCTTTTCCTTGTCAAAGTTCCTTGAGAGGAACAGTGGAAAAGCGATAACGATCCCAAAGATCCAAGAGCAAGCAATGGTTATCTGAAATATGTATACAAAATTGTTTTGTTTCATGACATGCTGTACCAGACCCACTAGCAAATCAGTGAAACAAAACCAAAACGTTACAAATGTTAATTGGCACTTCAGCTTCCCCAAGGTAGGGTTTGCCCCAGCCAAGCGTCCCTTTGCTTTGCAATGCCCGTTTATATTTTTGCGGGGTGACGAATGGTCTTTGCGAGCATTTGCGAGCATGCCGAGCACTGCGATTGTTTTGCGAGCGCGAGCAGAAATAAAAAATTTGCTTTGCGAGCTTGCGAGCAACGCAAAATTTGGGGAGCACGAGCAAGCGAGCACTCGCTTAAATTTTGCGAGCAAATCGAGCAAAGGTAAAATTTTACGAGCAGTTAAAAATTTTAATGGACCATTCATCACCCCTTTTATAAGTAATACCCGGTAACACCAACTTTCCAATTTTGCGTTTCATCTACCTTTTCTGTGTTTTCTACCCTACGTTTTTGCTGCTGCCGCACAATTTTTACCAGGGGCTTTCCATCGGCCAGGAAATGGGTTCGTGCCTCGCGTAATCACGTGAATTATTATGCAGTGAAAGTACTTCAATCTTCATTCCACTTCCCCATCAGAGTATATCTGCTAGTCACGATACCAAGAGAAACTTCTAAATGTTATGAAAACTAACTTTTTATCGTTGTGTAAATAGTGTTTTGGTTATCAAGGCCGCTGGTGTGCTATGATGACGCAAAAGGTAATATGTAGATTTAGCCAGGGCTAAAAGCGAAGCTCACGTTAATAAATTAATAATTTCAATAAAAAAAATAAAAATTAATCAGTTAACTTTAAGGTACATCCATGAGACTTTTGAGGGAAAGTGATTCGTTAGGGAAGAATAATTTGACAGTTCAAGAGTGAAACAAATTTTGCGAGTTAATAGTCTCATATGTACACCAAAAAATAGCAATCTTCTTCGATTTGACAGTAGATTAGGCCTAGAAAACAAATTCTTCCCAAACAAAAGAAGTTAAACTCACTCACCCACCTACACTGCCTTTATCTGCTTTATTTTTATAAGGTTCATTCATAGTCTCTCCAACCACTCCGTTGGAGAGATCTCCGAAACATAATTTTATGCAACGATAGTCCTCAGTTGCAGCCAATTTACACGTTGCATTCATCTGTCTAAAAGGAAGGCTAAAATAACAAAAAATTCAGGCCGGTCTTTTTGTGTTTCGAAAAAGATTTGTGTTCTACAGGTTTACTTTACAAGTAAATCTTGGCCACAAATCTGGTGGTGTGTAAAATAGTCTTAAATACACTTTTTATCAGTGTTTTTATACATAATTAAGCCGAAGGTCTGAGGAAAACAGTGCTATGCCTGTGTGCCTGTTTTTTATCATACAGACCTCGAACAGGATTTGTTCTTCCTTGCCCTATTTAAACCTATGATTCTGCAGTTTTCACAATTTTGCAAGACAAATTGCGTTCATTCAATATCCAGGACGATCGAAGCACGCACTTCCTTTGAGCAAAAGATTATAGAATTGACCACATTAGAAAACGTTTTCATGAAGAGAATTTTCCATAATAACGGGACTGTTTAGTCGGAAAAATATGCTCCTATGTGATATGCAGAGTAATAGTTATGGGATTTCAGTGAAAACGATCAAAAAATTCCCAAAATCACTTATATGGCCAGCCGGACGGGTTCTCACTTTTGTCAAGCACCAAATTTGCGGTCCGAGTTGTCAGAGCCGTTTGAATGAATATTAACAGAGTTAAGCTTCAACATGATAGAGATCTTATTATGTTTAGGTTTTATTTTTCTTTAGTTATGGTTTTGTTATGAGATATTTACGCGCGGCATTTTGAGTAGCCCTGCGTGCAGTGTTTTGTTTTATGTTCGACTGAAAAGAACCTGCGCAGCGATTAAATTGAGAAAGAGACTACTAACAATCAGTAAAATAAATATAACTCGGTGAACCATGTACGGAGACAACAATTTTCATTCAAGAAGATAAGTTTTGAGAGTAAGTGTCTCTGAAAATCACGAGTCAGGTAAGTATAAGCTCATAGACTTCAAAAACCTATCAGATTTAAGCCGGCTTCCCATTGCAGTGTTCACTTCAAGATGAGCCGCGAGGCAAGAATATCGCTCATAGCTTTCTTTTTACAGCCAAAATCATAACTAAATACATTGTATTCTTCGGAACGTTTTCTTTGTATAATTTTGTGGTCAGGAAATGTTAAGACTTTTTAAAAAGCTGTAAGCTTATGTCAAACCTGATGCTACTTTAGGTCAGATCATTGTCTTGTACATAAACTTGGCGCAGAAACTACGCTCGACTTTAGGAAACCAGAGAAAAAAAAAATAACTCAGGCTTACCAGTCAAGATGCAGCTCCTGAAGGCCATCAGAATCGCTTGAGACTTTTTTGAACTCTCTTTATAATAAGCATTAAGGAAGGGGAAGTGAGTAAAAGCGATCCATCCGAAATCGGATTTCCGATGACTTTGACAAGCGGCGCATTTCTTAACCAAAAAAACAACAAACAAACCAGCCATGAATAACTTAAGAATCTTGCTAGCAGCTGTATTTCATTTTGTGCATCCACTGGAAAAACACAGTTCAAAGCTTCACAACAATCAGTGGTCGGTTACGGCAATTCTACTTTTTGCAAAAAACGCGGATTCACAAAATGAAAAACGCCTAGAAATCAAGATCTTCATTTGTATTCAATACTCAACACAGAAAAAAGGAAACCCTTTTTTAACTTTCAGTCGCCATTATGGAAACTTGAGAAAAGTGCCCCCTTTTCTCACGAAAAGCCGGATATTTTTAGGATTTGTCTTCGATATAAAGTCATGTAAAGTGAAGCAACTTTCTTGAGTAATATTCATATCTCACGAATCGCAAAAAAGCTGGAAAGAGACATTTCTCGAGTTTTTTCAACTTTTTGCCTTTTTCTTCAAAGTAAAAAAAAGTCGACCTTTTTCCTCTTTCTTTGTTTGGTCCTTTTGGGCGGACAGTTGTCAAACAAGGGCGGGAATCTCAATCTTCAGTCCTCTCAACTGACAACTGTCAAAAATGACAGGTATTTGTGAGCAGTGAATTGTGACGTTAATTTACAATTGTTCATATGTAGGCGCACTTTGTGTTCCGGCAATGTTTCAAGATGTCGGACGTTTACGTCAAGATTAAGATGAGCGAGAAATAAGAAAAGGGGTAAAACTTAAGTCTAAACAACGGAACTCTGGCCATGGTATTTAGGCTCGTCCTAAGCCAGGAGGTCTACGTACATTTCCTTTAAAAAAGGGGAGAAAATTCTCCCATACTGGCTTTTAGCACGTCGAGGACTTTGAGAAGACGTACTCAGTCAACGGAGAACGAATGACTGCCAACTCAGTTAGCTCAGTAATGCCTGCAGTACAGTGTACAGGGCTTGGGGTACCTCTTTCCTTCCTAAGGACGGCCACACGAACAAATCCCAACCCCCCCCCCCACCGCCTTGACAGAGTGCGGTGGGCATTTAAAAACGACCGACCTTTACCACCACCAAAAAGGGTCTAGAGACGCGGCAGAAATCGCTCATATGGTGGACGTGTCGCCGTCTGGCGAAATTGGAGAAAAGTTCCAGGTGCACCTTGTCGCTGACCGAAGAAACTTCGTCGGTTGATGAAGTATTTGCATCTAGAAGAATCACTTCAAATCCTAATTGTTGTTTTAGTACCCACTGTACTTCATCGACCGACGAATTTTCTTCGGTCAGCGACATGTACACCGTACCTTGAACGTTCGCCAGACGGCAACATATCCACCACTACAAGCGATTTCCTCCACGCCACTTGACCCATCTTGGTGGTGGTGAAGGTTGGTCGTTTTAGTACGGCCAGCGCACTCTGCCCAGGCGGAGGGTTGAAATTTGTTCTTGTCGCCGTCCTCTGGTACGTCTTCTCAAAGTCCTCGACCTACTAAAAGCCAGTAACTGATGGTGGAACTATCTCCTCTTCTTCGAGGGAAATGTTCGTAGATCCCCTAGTTTAGATCGAACATAAATTACCAGATGACCTTTGTTTAGAGTTGAAGACTTTAGTTTTACCCCTTTTTTATTTCTTGTCCATCTAAATTTTAACGTAAAGATCCGACATCTTGAAACATTGCCGGAACACAAAGTGTGCAACTACATATAAACACTCGTAAATTAATGCCACGATTGCCAAAATTTCCCGCCATTTTTTGGCAGCTGTCAGTCGAGTGCACTCCGCCAAAAATACCAAACAAAGAAAGGGGCCGGGAAAAAGTCGACTTTTTTCGACTTTAACTTTTTTAGGCATTTTTTTATTTTCGTTATCCGCGTTTTTTGCAAAAAGTAGAATTGCCAGAACCGACCACTGATTCACAATGTTACACAAAACTCTGTCAGTTTCAGGTATCAGTAATCAAGTTTCAAGATGCTGCATAAATTTTCCGCATGAACTCACCTGTCACCTTTTGACCAATAAGAACATAAAAATTGGACGTAGAGCGTGACCAACGCGTGACCATGGTGAGAAAGGTCAAAAGCAACTTCCCTGACTGTAAAAGCTGGCTGAATTCTCGCGTTCGAGGTCAGTTTGAAATTAAAAGTTTAATAGTACGGCTCATAAACACAACTTCCCATTTCCTATGCGCTAAAGAAATTGAACTTGAACCTGCAATCATTTGAAAAGTAGAAACTTGTCAGCGGATAATTTCAAAAAACTCGAACTCAGTGGGCCGATACCTGAGCCCGCGATACGGGCAGGTAATGATGGTCAGCGGATGCTCTAGTTTGACAGCTGCCGATTGAACTTGATTAGACTGGTGAATTTTCGAATAAACGGACTGTTGACTGCGAGTGTGAGTAAGACATTTTTCAGTCTGGGTTGTAATAGAGGATTAATGGGGCGAAATGTTAGATCGTGTATTTGAGACCGCGTTGTTAGTGATCTGATAGTGGTCTATACATGTTCAATTTTGACGGCTGACAATTGACCTTAATTTGGCTAGCGCATAATATATAGATTTAGCCAGGGCTAAAAGCGAAGCTCTGGTTAATAATACGTGTAAACAAAAAAAAATTAAATCGTGTAACGCTAAACGGGAGACGACAATGAAACTAATAGATCTAATTAGCAAAAGAACAAATTGCACGTGCAGCACACTTTTTCTTCTAATTAGCACAAAGCAAATTTGTACGTGCAGCACGCTTTATTGTTTTTCCCTTGCCGTTGTTTTGCACGACTACAACACTGTTTTGAACGACTAAAACGTCAAACCTTCTAGTTACACACTATTTTTATGGACACTATTTTTATTCGTATGTGCTTACCCAATATTTTGTTTCCAGTGTTCATGTTCGCTTTTATTTTTCACTGCCGCTCATTTTCACCTTGCTGACCGCTAGCATTTCTCATTTTCTCACCACCGCTTTGAATTTCCATGTTTTTCTTCCAACGAATTTTCAATAACTCGCTCTAACTCTTTCTCCGTTATCCACGTTAGTGTACACATAAAAAATAACGCCGAAAAAGACATTACTTTTTTCTTTCTAAAAGTCCGGGCGGCTATGTGATTTCCTTCCAAACAAAACCTTGAGTTGCATTTGTGTTCCCATACCTGTTGATTGAGTTATTTTACATTGGTATGCCTGTGGTGAGGACGGACGGTCGCTCGCTCGGTGTACGGTCACATGATTACCAAATTTTCTGGGATGGGTAGATTACCACATTTCCTTAGCTATGGGGCTCCGCCCACGCGCGCGCTTCGCGCTAGTAGCCAACTGACAGCCCTGGCCGGTGAAAGTGAAGTTTCGTTTCATTTTCATTTTCATGTTGGTGTGACATATTGTATCAGCTTACATGTAGGGAAAAAACGACTGGTCCTTTATCTGAGCCCGCCGTGATTACTGTCAGCGGATGTCTGATTTTGACAGCTGTCAATTCATCCTCATTCGGATGGGTTACAAAGTGTTAATTTCTCCAAGATCTAATGTGACATTTGACATCAGCTTACATGAGGTGTGTGTACGGGTGGGCGTACGCTACGTCATGATGACCAAATTTTCTCGGATGAATAGTTTACCAAATTTTCTTACCCATGGTGCTTCGCAGGCACGCGCGTCGCGCACGAGAGAGCTCCGCTATTAGCTGTAGACAAAGTCAATGAACCACTTACGCTAACTCCAGAAGAAAGAGTTCATTCGCTTTTAATGTTGTACACGCAAATCAATACAAAAGAGATGAGCATACCTTTATTCTACGAGCACTAAACTTCCCCTTTTTATCAAAGGGATGAAGTGCAGCATAGTAGCGTTCAGTTGCTACGGCAACAAGTGTAAAACTGATGTGCCACCTCCAATCCAGGCAAAATTCCCTCCGGTATTGATATTTTTGTAAGAGTGTAAAAATTAAATTGAAATAAAATCACTCGCCTTTCATCACATTGTATTTCCTCACCTTAAGTTTACGACTGCTAAGCTTTCCTTTGTTTTCAAAAGGATATATCACAGCAAAATAGCGTTCAGTTGCTATGGTGACAAGGATAAATACGGATGCGCCAGCTCCGACCCAGGCGAAGTTTCCTCCTGTTAGTAGCCGGCAGAGAATATTCCCAGCAACTCCATCCGGGTGAATGAAGGTATGGATAAAAATATATCGAGGCGCTAAAAATGTGGCCACAGTCATGTCTGCGATGGCGAGGTTCATAAGAAGATAGTTTATTGATGTCCTTAGGGAAACCAGAAAATTGTCTTAGTTAGTTCCCCTCGGAAAAGGGTATTTAAAGAAACATGATGATAGTGAGTTTAGGCAAGAGGAGGGCAGAAGAAAGAGGACCACGGTGTCCTGATCATATATAGACTGCGAACAGCCACTCTTGAGCTCGATAATCCGTGAGCAAGCGCGATATGCGAGTGCGCATTCTGATATAGGAGTTTTAATACGAACTTTCCGAAATCGGAATATTTGATATCCACTCCCGATAACTCGAACCCTCGAGGGAAATCGAAAAAAAGTTCTTGTTACTCGGGTGTTCGAAGTAGATAGCCCGACACAAGCACATAAGCAAATGGATGTGGAGGGAATTCAAATGTCATGCTCACTTCTCTTCAGGGAAGCAAGAGATATAGATTGATATTTTGAAAAAGTAATTAAGCAACAAAGCTTGATTAAGATACAGGGACAGACACTGAATTTGAATTTACCAGTGGAATGACAAAAATGTAAAGACAAAGAATTGACACGATTGTTTTGAAATAAATTCAATGTTTCGGACTTCAGTACACTGTCTAATTTATTTTCCACCTTGTCACGGGCTTAAAACGTGGTTAGAGTTATCGAGGGTAAAATTATGTAGAAGTGACTGGAAGGAAAACAAAAATTACTTGGAGTTAGCGGGAGGGCGGGCGTTTATTAAATTTCAAGGGTCCAAGGAAGGGGGGGAGGCGTTTAAAAGAGAGAGGCGTTTATTCTAATAACTGTAACATGGTAACCTAAATACGGTATTATAATAATCTAAATGACAGAGCTTTAGCAGACTATCAAGTCGGTCCGCTGATAAGTCTAAACCGTCTACAAATCCATAACGGTATATGGTACATACAAAGTGGCGGAAAAGGGTACCGTATACTGGTAGTTCTTATAGCTCAATGTCAACATCCGAGTCCTCGTCGAGCACCATGGTATTTTCATCGCCGGCTTCTTCTATGTCTGAGTTAGTTATTGCTTGAAATGGGATCAAGAACATTAAAGAACGCTATCCTCACTTTGAACTGGAAATTGAGCAAAACGCAACTCGCACACTGGTGTTAATTAAGCAAGAACGCAAATAAATTGATTGATTGTATTGTACATCTGTTTCCAGTTTATGTGTGGTTTTCAGGGAAGGGGGGCGTTTATTCGACAGGGGGCGTTTTTTGGAGAGGGGCGTTTAATACAAACTTGTCAGCTTAGGGGGGCGTTAATAAGATAGGAGGCGTTCATTAGAGAGGAGGCGTTTATTAGATCATTTACGGTAACCGAGGGTAATATTACAGTGGAAGTATGAATCCAGAAATCGAGAGAAAATCGACTAGGGTTCGAGTTTGCGCGAGGTTCGCGCAAGTTAGCGAGGGTTCGAGTTATCTAGAGTCAACTGTATAAAGATTAAAAAAGATGGGGGAACACTGATGAGCTGTGGGGGTGACTTGCGGATCGCGCGCCAAAAACTTCTTGAGGGGAGATTATGCAATTTCAAACTGCAAGCCCATTAGTTCGACCCCCATATTCAAGGTTAATTAGGAAATGCACCCTAAAACGTCGAAAACAATATTTACTTTGTCTTTTCACTTTTTGCTTTTGTTGCTCTTATAATGCTCTGGAGTGAGAAGTTTACGGGCTATTTTTCTTGTAAAAAAACGTGTAAATGTTGCGGACCGTATAGGTATACCGGTAGTTACCTCATGTCTTTGTTCTTTACTATGATGAGACAAACAAAAGAGTTTCCAGTGATGTTTACAATAATGAGTAACGATTGCACTGTTGTTACGGCGATCTCGGCTGGGCCTTGCTCCTTGTAGATAAAGTCCATTGCTTCCTACAATTAAAAAAAAGAGGATTTTGAGACATTTTTTACTCATAAAGATCTTATATAGGATTAGGTTATCGATATTTACGTTTTTTCGAGTCTTTTTGTTGTAATATATAGAGGATATTACACGGTGGCGCTAAGATATGAATTTTATTTTCGAGTGACATAGAACTTGAAGTTCCTCTACATTGCTTGGTTAATTGTTTTGGTCTTTGACTCAATAGCTCCTTAAAATGAACGTTTTTATGTCACATAGCTTTTGTCGAGGTGGAATATTATTTTTTGCTTTTTCCTCATGGATGACTCCGTTTTACACAACGATCCCTTCTTAACCTTCCTCTTCATGCATCCAGCTTTATTATCGTAATTAATCTTTTTTTCAAACGACTTAGGTATTCAAATAAAAAGAAACAGTTTTTACCGATTTTGCAAATACCTGGAAAGTGGCTTTGTGAATTCTAATCCTGCGTTTTTCCACTGCTTGCTCTATCGAAAATGGTAGAAGAACTGTCAAACATATGCCTAAAAAACGGGAAGTCTAAAGTCTATCATCATGATATAAACATTTTACTCAGCAGCTGTTCAGTTAAAAGGGTTGACCGTTATGTCATGAACAGCGGTAGAATTTCAATGTAATTTTTGCTTTCGTTTCTAAAAAGTGGTTCCATCGTTTCTTATTAGGAGTGGAAAAGCTTATTTATCCTTGTATTTAGTAATCACCCACTAAGTTATGACTACTGAACGGCACCTGTTCTTAAAAATATTTAGGACGAGGCTGAGAATGATCTAAAGTATTCTATAGATCGAGAAGGGTTTATCCCTTTTGCAAAATCCATTTAACAATTATTCCACGAGCCCGAATGGGCTCTGAGTCAATGGTTGTCTTTACACTAGGCTGTTAAGTAAGACTTAACAGCTGCTAAGTTTTACTTAACTAAACAATACGCGTACGTGTGAAGGCCTAAGTAAAATCTTAAGTAACTTTACTTTGCATCTCATTAAAGTGGGAAAGTTGAAACGATTCAAGAAAGTTTAAAGTCAATCAATCAATCAACAACTTTATTTAAGTTTCTAGTCTTCTAGCTTGCCGTCAGGCCTACTAATCGGGGACACTACTTAAATAACTTATTAATAAGAAATATATATACATAATACTATAGGCCAATAAGATTTAACTATTCTAAAACTACTAAAAAGATACACGATATTCAATATGCTTTGAAAATACACCTATGTAATAAATAAGAAAAAAAAACTATATATACAATTTCATAATATTTCAACTCTACTAGTTATGATATTTCCTGTTTATGAATTATGAGTCACACAGGTGGCACCCTTTGCATGCGTTATCACTAACCAATTTGCTCAGATCTTTTCTCCTTATATCTGTTTTAAACCTGCTTAAGGAGGTCTCGTTTGTGTCCTTCATACTCAATTTTGACCATAAAAATGGCCCAAAAAATCTGAGGGAATGCTTTCCATATTTAACAGTTTTTACCCTTTGAACGTGAAACCCCGAGTTCCTCTGGTTGTAGTTCGAAGGCTATGACGAGAAGAGTTCTAGTATGTTGTAAGGCAGTAATCTATTCCTTATTTTGAACACAAAGATAGCGACATCTTGTAATCTCATGTTATATAGACTAGTCATTCCAGCGTGTGTAAGAAGGTCACCATAAGGAGAGACTCGATCTTTGAAGACTGTACGTAGTCCTCTTTCATTAATTCTCTCTAGCTTGTTTCTGTCGCTTGCACGACAAAAGTGCCACACCAAGCTACAGTATGTGAGATGGGGTAAAACTGACTTGAAAACCATCCTTAAAACCGACTTGGCGAACTTGCGGTTTCTAAGCTTTGAGAAAGGCGAAGCACGTCAATCAATCTTAATTATGTTGCGTGGGAAAATAGGCTTATGTAAACCTGAAGTAAAAAAGATAGGTTGTGTGTGAAGCTTTCTTTTACTTGAAGACTTTAAAATTTACTTGTCTTGAAATATTTCTTAGCTTATTTAGGCTATAGTGTAAAGACTAGCAATAGCCTATGAAGCCGAAGGTCGGATGGGCTATTGACTCAGAGGCCATGAGAGCGAGAAGAATAATTGTTTTAGTAAAAACCAACTAGTTGGTCAATAATATGCAGACAAAACAACCTTAGCTGGTTAAAACTAGACTTTAATCCTTTTTTGCCGCCAAAAAGCCGGCGCTTTTAGCTATTAGTGGGCTATAACTTATGGCGTAGTAGTAGCTCAACCAATCAGAACGCAGCATTGATAATAGATCACCTGTTGGATTTTACTTAAGTGTGATATTTAAACACTAACAAAGCTGGCTCAAAAATTAGCAAAAACTGAGTAGAAAATCTTAGTAGAAATACTCAAGTAGAATTTTCAGGCGAAGTACAAAGGCTACCCAAATGTAGATTACCGTTCCTTTAATTTCTGCCTCCATAGGATTTGGTATCTTCTAGCAGAATGATCAAAAATTGCTTTAAATTGTAGCTTTTAGCCTTAATGTTGTATATCGTGTAGAAAAAAAACCTCTGTGTAAGAGCTAAAGTCGTGAAAAACCTTAGCATCCTTGACCCTGCGAGCAGAGCCTCCTTTTGTTTTGTTCATTGAGGAAAAAAAGACGCTCTGCTTCAGCCTCGTACCCAGGCCAGTTCGTGCTATCCGAGTTACCAGAGGAGGCTTGGAACAGAGTGCGATAGCGCGAATTTTTCCGACAAGCTTGACAGGTGACGTCACTTCCGAAATCGCCGAGGACGACTAGGAACGAGGCTGGCTCTGCCTAGCCTTTGAAGTCGCCGATGCCCAAACGTCCGCACTAGTCAATAGCGTCCACTTTTTGATAAATGAGCCCTCTTTACCAAGCGTGGGACTTTTGGGCCTGGGTTCAAAAAGTGTATCCCAGGAGAAGAAAAAACATTCTCAATTACCGCGCTTTTCACAAACATGCGAACTCTAAAGTTCAAAAGCCGCCTTCGCAATTGCGTTTTTCGCTGCCGTCAATCATAATTACGATCATAATTAACGAACCTGGAAACGCAGAAACACACAAAACGGATCGAAATCCACCAATCACAAATCACAAACCTTGACCTTTTGAACCCGTTAAAGTAAAGTTTTGTTTCTTAAGAGGTCCGTTAAGATGATTTACGGCAGCGAAAAACGCAATCGTCAGTTGGCTTTTGAACTTCAGAATTCGCATGTTTGTGAAAAGCGAAGTAAGACCTTACTCAAGTCATGCAGAGTTTTTTCTCGAAGACACCAAAATCGTGCAAGTCAGAAAGGCTGTGCCAGTAGGATGGTCTGGCACTAATCGACGACAACTAGTGCAACACATCGTAAAAGAAATACATAGCACCTTTTATTCCATGGAGCACATGTACTGACATATCACACACACAGGAGTGGCGGATCCAGACCTGACGCTTGTTTGAGAACTATGAAATTCTTACATCGGCAGGACTGTATATTACTTTTTAACCTTTTTTTTTTTTATGAAACGCGCGTTGCATTTTGTTACTAAACTAAATTACAGTGTAAAAAGGGAGTCGGTGGGCAACATACTACTTTTACCTCGTGCCAAAATGCTGTTTGTTGCAATGATTTTTTTTCTCTGGCGGGTAGCAAAAAATGTTCTTTTTAGTGTGACGATAACTTCTTTTTGTATCCATAACTCGATTGCTGCACGCTGCACGTTTACCATTTTTTTAAATTTATGGAGCGTTTTCACTCATGTGGCCATCATCTATGCAAATTTATTAGAACAAAAGAAAGTGTTTGCATAAGAAAAGAGTTCAACCCCACAGGAACGGTTTGGGATACCAACATTGCCACCGTTTCCTTGTTTTGGGACACTAATATGGCCGCCGTGACGTTATGTAAAAACACTCTATCTGATAAGTCTAAACCTAAACATATTAGTAGCAGTATAGTAGGAACTCAAATAACCTGTTTTTTGATTGAATTAACTTTTGGTGGAATGCATTAACACCAATAACGTCATTTGTAGGCACTTTAACGTTGCGCCAGGTTCTATCTTTATGTTACGACTGGTATAACCGAATTGAAGGGTTTTAGTTTTTTAATTTTAGACACAGTATGGACACAGCATACGTGGGTGCAAAACAGTTCAATGACAACATAGACAACATACACGCAATAATTCACCCATAGACGCTTCAACTATCAGATATCTGGTGCAATATTCGCATTATTGACTTGGTTGAATTGGAAGGGCGAGGATGGCTATTTTAACGTTTTCATTTTTCCCGTCAGGAAGTAGTACTCTCAATATCAGTTTCTTTCTTCGCAGTAACAACATTAATAGGGACCTTTAGATTCTAAGACGAGTGCGAGTACGATATTTTCTCAATAATGAGTAGTGCGAGCGAGTGAGCCAGCGTCATTGTGGCAGGAAAACATGATAGTCGTCGTCATTTTACCACGAGTTTTAGCGAGAATGTCGCGTTAGCGGACACAAGTTATAAAGTGTTATAGGTGTTAATATTTTGCAGCTGGGAGATAGCTTAACCTCCTTCAATCAAGATAACAGTGCTAATTTCTTGTAGCGAAAAAGATGTACAATAAAGCTTTCCGGGGTGTCTATTATCTGAGCAAACGCGAAACAGCTTTAAATTACATCTCGTACTCGTAGTCCTTCTCGTCCTAGAATCTAAAGGTCTCTAATCTTACACAAAGCAGGACATATTACTAAAAGTGTCAATCACTCAATGTGAAAGGACGCCAAAGCTTGTAGTCCTTGTAGATTGTTATCGGACAACTCTTTCTAAGGATTATCCTCCCTTACAGGACTATTGTCCAAAACGATATCTAATTGACTTTTTAGATCATGAACAGTTTTTTTAGTTCAATATTGCAAGTATTATTCCCACTTAGCTTTCCGCTTTGCAATGGTTCAAAAGTTCTCCGGTTTAATTTTATTCACGTGTATGGTATGTTGTAGAGTTGATAACCGTAAACAAAAGTCCCATCTTATTTTGTATGCCATATTCTTGATGACTTTTTGATTATTGACCCCCACAGCCTAGCCTGCCAGCAAACACGGCACTTCCCGCCAACACTGACTCAAGCCCCTTTCTCCCTCCCAAAGGTGGCCTCTAATTAACCAACCAGTTGCTGTTTTTACGGTCACGTTTTAAATACACATTAATTAAGGTAAACTCTATAAATAAATTAAATTATCAGAAATCACTCCCTCAGCTACGTTCGTCCGTTAATTGGCTTTGGTGAAAGGAGATAACGGCTATCTCCAGTTTCTCATGTTTTTTAACAGAAAAAATCCCGTCTGGTTCTGCACGACACTTGCCACTTAATATTCCTTTCATTTTCTCTTTGAATCGCTGATTTATCAAAGCATACAAAATAGGATTGATAGCAGAATTGAACAGGACCAAAATGGAAGTTGCTGCGTATGTCAACTGATTGAAGGAAGGTTTATAATAGTAGAGGACCCAGTTAAACGAGTCTGCAAGCCAGGTTACTCCAAAAATGATACTGACTGTTATGACCATCGAGGTGACCCGCTTGCGTACTTTCAGTACACCCTGAAAACAAAAATTTAAAATTTCAACTTGTTTGTGAAACAGAATAAACCCTGGTGCGGGTGAGTATACGGGACCAGCAGCTAGGATTGTAGGTAAATCACTTATATACTAAATGACGGTGGTGACGTTAACCTACACATGCGTTATTGACCAAGCGGGAGGTCAAAATGGTTGGATATTGGCCAAGTTCTTTTTAGCGTGATTATGCATCAGACAAATCCAGCTGCGCCCAGCCCCCTCCCCTGGGCCGCTGCGGAACATTTGCCTACCATGTCAGTCCCGACATTAGCAAATTTTGCGTGGCCCGGGGGTCGGGCATTTGCCCACCACGGGGCCAACCCCGAGCTTTTGATCATTTTGATCTTCATCGCCGAACGGAAAGTGAACAAAATGAAATTTTAAAAGTTAATAAATGGACCACGATGGCGTCTTGTTCAAGATCTTAATTTTCGCCGAGTTTATTACAAGCCTAGACTGTTTTGTTTTCCAACAATTTTTGTTCTTCTCGTCTCTTAAAGTTTTCAAATACTATCCTAAATCGAGAACGTCGTCCCCTTAAAAATAAGCAGTTATAGCGTTACATTTGTGTCGAAAGACTTCGCTTTCATTCTCATTTGCCGCCAAAACACTAAGCCCAAAAGGCTTGATAGGAAAAAAATAAGAGTCAATCTTGAGGAAACACCACACTAAAAACACTTAAATGTGTCTCTTGAAGTAAAATGGATCGAAAATTTTGTATGAAAAGCAATTTCTGCACCGAAAACAAGAAACCAACCCACCGTTTAAGGAGGCGGCCAAACTAGGCATTATGCTAATTAGTTCCAAGAATTGAACATTTCACTTCCGGTTGACATCCTCCTCGGCCGTGTCCAGAGTATCTTAAGGTCCCTAAAAACCTCATAAAAGACCGTGGCCAAAATACAGCTATCTTGACCGAACAAGATTGATCAATAAAGGAATTTTTATATGGCGAAAATTAAAGAGAACTTTTTCTTGCAGGAATAAATAATTGGTATATAGCATTTTGTTTTTATTTTAGTTTCGAACCTGTTGCACACAATGATGACGTCCTCTTGGCTTTGAACGTGTGAACCACATAGTGTACACGACTTGGGAGTATAGAGCGATCATGAAAGTAACGGGGAAAAATCCTGTAAACAGAAACCAAACCATGCTATAGGCTTTACCCATCCATTCTTCAGACCAAGTATAAACGCACCAATCAAGTTCCTTGTCAAAGTTCCTTGCTAGGAACATTGGAAAAGTGATGACGATCCCAAAGATCCAAGAGCAAGCGATGGTCATCTGAAATATGTATACAAAATTACATTATAACATAGCTAGAAAATTCGCCTAATCAAATTCAATAGCGCGAGCGTGCTTCATATTCCTATTGAGCACGCTGATGACGTCAATAAACTATTCGTAATTCCTCGAGTTGTTGGGAGCTTAGCAATCCTGAGTCTCCCGAGTGCATCCATAACTCAGCAATAGACAATGAAGCGTTTACCATGTGTTTTATAAGGAAATTTAAGAGGAAAGGTTTGAATTTGTTAACCGATAGTAAGGAAAAGAGGTGAGTGTTGTTGTTGTTGTTGTCATCTCGGCGAGCTGTGCGGGCTATGGCGTGAGATCATTCTTTGCAAAGTTGTTTTCTCTCAATAACAATTTTTCGGTAAATTAAAAGTTTTCCGGCACCTAAATATGGATTTTGCAATCATTTTAGAGTACACTTTCTCTCAGTTTCAGGATAAAAACATAAGATTAACTGTGAGGAAAAAAAATATAGTCACGTAATCATTAACGCGTACTGCTTTGAGCGCGCCCTACAATAATAAAATTTTCAGTTAACTGCTGCATTGATCGCTTTGATAATGTTATAAAACAATTAGTTCATGCTGCAGCTGTGCGTATGTCGAGATATTGAGCACTTGGGAAGTTTGGAGAGCACTCAAAAGGCTAGAGTTGCACTCGGCTGCGCCTCGTGCAACTCTTACGCCTCTTTCGTGCTCTCCAAACTTCCCGCGTGCTCAATATCTCGACATACGCACGCTGCCGCATGAACTAATTGTTAAATGTTTCATGACATGTTGTACCAGTTTACAAGTGTTAATTAGCACTTTTGCTTCCCTAAGGTAAGGTTTGCCCCAGCCACGCGTTTCTTTGCCTTGCGATGCCCGTTTATATCAGTATACCCGGTAACACCAACTTTCAAATTTTGCGTTTCATCTAACTTTTCTCTGTTTTCTACACTACGTTTTTGCAGCCGCCGCACAATTTTTACCAGGAGCTTTCCATCGGCCAGGAAATGAGTTCTTGCCTCGCTCAATCATGTGGATTATTATGCATTGAAAGTATTGCAATCTTCATTCCACTTTCCTGTCATAGTATATCTGCTAGTCACGATACCAAGAGAAACTTCTAAATGTTATGAAAACTAACTTTTATCTTTGTGTAAAGAGTGTTTTGGTTATCAAGGGTGTGTGCTATGATGACGCAAAAGGTATCAACTGTAGACAAAGTCAATGAACCTCTTACGCTAACTCCAGAAGAAAGAGTTCATTCGTTTTACATTTGTGTACTCACAATTCAATACAAAAAAGATAAGCATACCTTTATTCTACGAGCACTAAACTTCCCCTTTTTTTCAAAGGGATGAAGTGCAGCAAAGTAGCGTTCGGTTGCTACGGCAACAAGTGTAAAAACTGATGTGCCACCTCCAATCCAGGCAACATTTCCTCCGGTCAGCAGTCTGCAGAGCACGTTTCCAGCAACTCCATCAGGATGAGTGAAAGTGTGCACAAAAACATATCTTGGTAGTAAAAATGTGGCCACAGTAATGTCTGCGATGGCTAGGTTCATAAGAAGATAGTTTATTGCTGTCCTTGGGGAAACCAGAAAAGCTGTCTTAGTTAGTTCCCCTCGGAAAAGGGTATTTAAAGAAACATGATAATAGTGAGTTTAGGCTAGAGGACGGTAGAAGAAAGAGGACCACGGTGTACTGATCATATGTAGACTGCGAGAAGCCCCTCTTGAGCTCGATAATCTGTGAGCGAGCGCGATATGCGGGTGCGCATTCCCATATAGGAGTTCTAATACAAACTTTCCAAAATCGGAATATTTGATATGGATTAGACTAAATATTTCTAAAAACAGTCGACTCCCGATAACTCGAACCCTCTAGGGAAATTGAGAAAAGTTCGAGTGACTCGGGGGCTCGAAGCAGTTACTATACCAATGGAGAGGGGCACTTTTCAAGACTCTGCTGGCAAGTTATTTAATGTCCTTCCGGCAAATATTAGAAACTGTAGCGATTTCAAATTTATATTGTAGGGAAGTTAATGCCTATCTATAAAATAAGATTTGTAAATAGTTTGTAAATTGTATATAGGGTTGTATTACTATTACTATAATCTTTATAACATTTTTGTTTTTATACAATATCCTTTTATAGTCCGATATTTTTGCTTTTTGTATTGTAGATTTCAATTCAATTTTTTTTGTAGTATATTATAGTTTTTCGTTTTTTATATTGTAGTTTTTAACAGGCGAAGAGCCACTAGGTGGATACACTGTTAATACACCATTATTATTATTATTATTAGATTGATATTTTGAAAAAGGAATTAAGCAGCAAAGCTTGATTAAGATACATGGATAGACACTGAATTTGAATTAACCCGTGGAGTGACAAAAATGTGAAGACAAGGAATTGACATAATTGTTTTGAAATAAATTCAATGTTTCGGACTTCAGTACACTATTTTTATTTTCCGCCTTCTCACGGGCTTAAAACGTGGTTAGAGTTATCGAGGGTAAAATTATGTAGAGGTGACTTGAAGGAAAACAAAAATTACTTCGAGTTAGCGGGAGGTTCGAGTTATCGAGGGTTCGAGTAACCGAGGGTAATATTACAGTTGAAGTATGAATCCATACATCGAGAGGAAATCGACTATGGTTCGAGTTTGCGCTAGGCTCGCGCAAGTTAGGGAGGGTTCGAGTTATCTAGAGTCAACTGTATAAAGATAAAAAAAGGAACACTGATGAGCTGTGGGTGACTTGCGGATCGCGCGCCAAAAACTTCTTGAGGGAAGATTATGCAATTTCAACCTGCAAGCCCATTAGTTCGACCCCCATATTCAAGGTTAATTAGGAAATGCATCCTAAAACGTCGAAAACAATATTTACTTTGTCTTTTCACTTTTTGCTTTTGTTGCTCTTATAATGCTCTGGAGTGAGAAGTTTACGGGCTATTTTTCTTATACAAAACCTGTAAATGTTGCGGACAGTATAGGTATACCGGTACTTACCTCATGTCTTTGTTCTTTACTATGATGAGACAAACAAAAGAGTTTCCAGTGATGTTTACAATAATGAGTAACGATTGCACTGTTGTTACGGCGATCTCGGCTGGGCCTTGCTCCCTGTAGATAAAGTCCATTGCTTCCTACAATTAAAAAAAAGAG